AGTCAGTGATGCCATCCAACCATCTCATCCTCTGTCGTCCCCTTCTCCTTCTGCCTTCAGACCCAGCATCAGGGTCTTTTCCAATGAGTCAGCTCTTCGCATGAGGTGGCCAAAGGATTGCAGTTTCAGCTTCAGCATCAGTCCTTCCAATGAATATTCAGGACTGATCTCCTTTAGGATGGACAGGTTGGATCTCCTTGCAGTCCAAGGGACTCTCAAGAGTCTTCTCCAACACCACAGTTCAAAAGCATCAGTTCTTCAGTGCTCAGCTTTCTTCATAGTCCAACTCTTACATCCATACATGACTACTGGCTATCTTTCTAGATTAAGTAAAAAAAGAAATTGATAGCTCCATTCTAAATGATGATCAATGTGATTAGCTCATTCAGCTTTTTTGTTTGTTGGTTTCTTTGAAATTTGAAGTTTTTTTTCATTGAGTTTAAATCAGTAGCCTAGGAGAAAGTGATTTCAAAACTGTTGATCATCCTAAAACTTGAAAGCCTGAAACACTTGTTAGAACATTCATTTTGATTGCTGTTATTTACTGATTGATTTATAGCTCGAGGCAGTATGTGATCATGACACTTAAAGATGCAGTTGTCTGTCTGTAGTATTATTTCTCTCCTATTCCCTTCACTGCGTGCTGCAGTCCATGGGATCGCAAAGAGTCGGACACAATTTAATGACTGAATAATTCCTTTCACATGTAGAAGAGAGTTTTGGGGGCTACCTTTTTTTTTTTTTTTTGGCAAATTTTATTGCTCGGAGAAATAGGAAGTGTTCTATTCTTGTGTGAAGTGTGAGAGAAATGGCTGTCTTTTTTTTTTTTAATCTTTGGCTTTTGTTGAAATCATTTTACCTGGCCGGTAGCATGATAAAGAAATAGAGCTTTGGCAAACTCATCCTGCAAAGGTTTCCTCAAACGTTTACATCTAGGTTGTTCTTGTAATTTTCACAGTAGCAGTAATGTTAGTTGCTCCATCGTGTCCAACTCTGCGACGCCACAGGCTGTAGCCCGCTAGGCTCCTCTGTCCATGGGATTCTCCAGCAAGAATACTGGAGTGGGTAGCCATTCCCTTCTCCAGGGGATCTTCCTGACCCGGGGATCGAATCTGGGTCTCCTAGCATTGCAGGCAGATTGTTTACCATCTACAGGGAAGGTTACTAAAAGAAAATGTTGCCTGTCATTAATGATATTTTGATGTGTTTATTTAAATGCTTCTGATTAATGGTGATTGGAAAAGAAGCAAGCATGCAATTAAAATAGAACATTAAATTGCATACACTCATGCTAGATTTGACAGATGGAGATTGTGGATTAACAAGAAGATAAATGTAGTTTCTTGATTTTACATACTTTCGTCAGCCTTTTTGGAGAAGGAAATGGCAACCCACTCCAGTATTCTTGCCTGGAGAATCTCACGGCCAAAGGAGCCTGGTGGGCTACAGTCCATGGGGTCGCAAAGAGTCGGACACGACTGAGCAACTCACACACACCCACATGTATCTCTGCCATTAGTGTTTCAGATGCATGCCTCTTTCTGTAATTGATGTCTGTGTTCTATAAGGTATTTTTTCCACAAGTTGTCAGCATTATGGTTATTTGGCTCTGTGGACATCACAGAGGACTGATTTTTTAATACACTGGTGTCTGTAGTTGTGAAAATGCAAGTGTGTACATATAATACCTTGTTTTCCTGATTTACATGTTCAGCAATGACAGAAAGATTCACACAATTATTTTGAGGTATTTTTAGCCACATTGCATTGAGCAGTTTTTATACGGAATGAATGCTTGTTGGATGTTTCCCGAATGAAATTACGGAGACTTGTCAGTAGCTGAGCCTCTGGGAGAAATCCCCAGGTCTGTGGAGTGGTCCTCTGTCATACGACACTTTTCTCAGATGAAAAAAAAAAATTGCAGGTTATTTTTAAAGCGTGCCATTGATTCATTTTGAGTAGTCTTCAGAAGGAGTTGGGCTAAACATATTTATTAAATGGCTGAGCACCAACTATTTTGGCTAGGAGCCACAGTCCTGAAAAGAATGAAATCAGCTTAGAGGGTAAGGCGTTGAACTTATATTTAGCAAACAAATTAACTCTTTAGGGAGCTTATAAAATATGTAAGGTGGACAAGTGTTTAAACTGTTTCATTTACATTTTTAAATTACTTCATTACTGTTAGAAAATGGTATTCTTTTAGAATTGCTATATTGACGAAAATCTATACACTTGTTTCGGAACGTACTTGGGAGAGGTGAACACTAGTAAACTTGGGACAAGCTTGTACAGATCTTGGAAAAGCATTGATGAGCTCAACATTTTTTTTCATTAAGTCACCAAGAATGAATCTTTTATATTCAGTATTGAAGAATATAAAATCTAGAATATTCTTGGAAGAAATAGCTTGCCCCTTGAAGTCTGCATGGAACAAGAAAGAAACTTGTCATCAAATCCTATAGCAGTTTTTTTTCCTCCCAGCTTTATTGAGATATAATTGACATATATAACATTGTGTAAGTTTAGGGTATGTAGTGTGAGATTGGATACATGTATTGGAAAATGTTTACCACACTAACGTAGTTCTTCTTAAAGATCAGTGTCAGCACTGAGATTTCCAGGCGAAATTGCTGAAAGAGGATCTTGGGTTTTGATCCCAGAGATCTGACTCTGTTGGTGTAGGGGCTGGCCATTGGCTTGCATTTCTGATAACCTGAAAGGTGATACTTATATTACTGGTCACTAATCACACGTTGAGAGCAGTCCTATGACAGACTGACAGTTGATACAGTCAGTAGTTTGTTTTCATATAGGCAGTTTTGAATATATGAAAGCTCTGAAATAATCATGAGCTTATGGGAGCCATAAGCATACTAATCTTTAGATAACTGGCATTTAGTCAGATATAATGAATATTTAATAATTGATAAGTTAATAATTAAATGTTGTATTAAATATATTTTGAGAATCATATATCCATTCATATGACAGTATCATTTTCATTTCAATCATGAGGCCTGATTGTTGTCTCTTTTTCATTTTGATATATAGATATTGTTTATTTTATGTGTTATATAAGCAAAGTATATATAACAAACTGCATTTACGTATATATATACATTGTTTATTCCATAATATTATTATTTCTTATTAAAATTGTTGCTGAACAATGGATCCTGGCTATTATCTTTGATTTATTAAATCATGTGTATAAATCACATTTAACAGTTCAGTTCAGTTAAGTTGCTCAGTCGTGTCTGACTCTTTGCGACTCCATGGACTGCAGCACGCCAGGCCTCCCTGTCCATCACCAACTCCCAGAGTTTACTCAAACTCATGTCCATCGGGTTGATGGTGCCATCCAACCATTTCATCCTCTGTCAGCCGTTTCTTCTGCTGCCTTCAATCTTTCCCAGTAAATTATGGGAATAGTAAATTATGTATATCATATATATATATATATATCCACACTTGACTCTCAAACTCTCATGGCAGAATCTCATATTCAGATTGATTCAATATATTTTAATAGAGTAAGTAACCTGGGTAATCCTCAGTGCTGCTGGGATCACTGAGATAAAGACATAAATTAACAATAATGTGTGTGCTATTTACACACACACACACACACACACACACACACACACACATACATGAACGGGCTTCCCTGGTAGCTCAGCTGGTAAAGAATCCACGTACAATGCAGGAAACCCCAGTTCAATTCCTGGGTGAGAACGATCCCTGGGAGAAGGGATAGGCTACCCACTCCAGTATTCATGGGCTTCCCTGCTGGCCCAGATGGTAAAGAATCCACCTGCAATGTGGGCGACCTGGGTTCAATCCCTGGGTCAGGAAGATCCCCTGGAAAAGGGAACAGCTGCCCACCCCAGCATCCTAGCCTGGAGAATCCCATGGACAGAGGAGCCGGGCGGGCTGCAGTCCATGGGGTTGCAAAGAGTCAGACACGGCTGAGCGACTAAGCATGCACACCCACACACACACACACACACACATATCGAACCCGGGTGTCCCGCATTGCAGGCAGATTCTTTACCAGCTGAGCCACGGGGAAAGCCCACATGTATACATGCACAGACTTAATGCAATGCTTCAGTCATTTACAGAAGCGCCTTCAGAAAATAGCCCGGTGTCGTCCACTTAAAAGCCAGCTACTGGTAAAGTTCATGAGGAAAAAAAATTCATCTGGTAACAACCCCGTTTGGAAAATCAGTTTGATTCCCTAAAAGTAAATATCCACGCTGCCGTGCCTGACGGTGGCTGTCACTATTTGTCTTGCCTGTCACCTCAGACGGGGCAGCTTACCTGCCGACCGTGTGGACACAGCCCTCTTTCTTCCCAGCTCTATACGATGCTCAGGTTCCTAGTGAAGGGAAGTCGCTCAGTCGTGTCCGACTCTTTGCAAGCCCATGGACTGTAGCCCGCCAGGCTCCTCCGTCCGTGGGATTCTCCAGGCAAGAATCCTGGAGTGGGTTGCAATTTCCTTCTCCAAGGGGTCTTCCCGACCCAGGGATCAAACTCGGGTCTCCCGCATTGCAGGCAGATGCTTTACCATCTGAACCACCAGGGGAGTCCCATCAGCTTCCCAGGATGCACATTTAAGATGGGGTGAGCTTCAGCTGAATCTCCCAGAGTCACTCGGAAATGCTGGCGCTGAGGAGTCCGGGGTGTGCACAGGTGGGGTGCCTTTCCTCTGGGGCCTTGTTCGTCACCTGTGTCCACTGATCGGTCTTCACCCTTCTCTCTCCCAGTGCCTGGAGCCCTGCAAGCTGTCCTGGGACCTGCGGAAGCAGCAATGCCAGAGCTTCTGCGAGGTAAGGGGCGTGCATGCGGCCACAGGCCGAGCTGTGGGCCGGGGAGTTCCTGGGCACTCAGCGAGGGCATCGTGTCCTTCTGGGGCCGGGAGGCTCGCTTTACTTCTGCGGTGTGTGTGTGTGTGTGTGTCTGTGTGTGTGTCAATTCACAGTCTTCAAAATTGTTCAGACTTCTGAAAACCCAGGTGGCAGTACTGGTCAGGAACCCCACCTGCCAACGCAAGAGACTTAAGGTATGTGGGTTCGGTCCCTGGCTTGGGAAGATCCCCTGCAGAAGGGAAAGGCTACCCTCTCCAGTATTGATGCCTAAAGAACTCCGTGGACAGTCCATGGGGTCGCAAAGACTCGGACACGACTGAGCAACTTGCACTTCAGTTCCCTTCACTAGCGTTTTCTGCGTGGCGGGGTTCTCAGACCATTTGATCTTCCTCTGGGCTGCCCACATGCCCGGGCTGAGACTGGCCCACATTTTCCCATGCAGAAGGCACTTTCCTTTCCCCATGCTCTCAGTTAGATAACAGAGCACTCCTGTCCCGGGCAACTGCTGTCTAAACTCACCATTTGTGCCAAAGAAAGAGGGTGCTGCTTTGCGGCACCGTATCCTCCAGGGCAGGGAGAAGACTTGAGATCCCCTTGGACTGTAAGGAGATCCAGCCAGTCCATCCCAAAGGAAATCAGCCCTGAAGATTCATTGGAAGGACTGAGGCTGAAGCTCTAGTACTCTGGCCACCTGATGCGAAGAGCTGACTCCCGGGAAAACACCCCAATGCTGGGAAAGATTAAAGGCGGGAAGAGAAGGGGACGACAGAGGATGAGACAGTTGGATGGCATCACCGACTCGACGGACGTGAGTTTGAGACAACTCCGGGAGATGCTGAAGGAGAGGGAGGCCTGGCGTGCTGCAGTCCATGGAGTTCCAAAGAGTCAGACGTGACTTAGCAGCTGAACAAGAGCAATTCTCCAGGGCAGACCAGGGGCCCTGCTGTGAAGCAGAGGGGCTGACCACATGGTGGCCACTCAGTGTAAGGGGAGTCAGAAGGTCCACGAGGACCTCGAGGATGTGAGTTGGGCCCGTCCACCATAGGAAGCAGAGCAGCACCGTGGACGGGGTGGGCAGGGAACCAGAGATGTGCCTGAGTGGTCTCAGAGGGAAACCTTGCTTCAGCTCTGCTCCAGATGGAACCAGGGCCGATCGGAACTTCTGAGCTGTTCCAGACGAACACAGAGGGGCTGGTTCTCCCCCCAAGCCCTGTCCCCTACCATGTGAGTTGGCCCTGTTGCCTGAGTTTCAGCTCAGAGGGCACGCAGACTGTGTCCTGAAGACATGCCTATGGACCTGGCACCATCACAGCCCCTGCAGTTTTACGGTCCCTGAGATACATCCATGTTCCCGAGGCCACCTGACCTTCTGATGAACGTGAAGGTCATCGGAGCTGTGTGTGAAGCGTGCAGGAGTGGAGGCTGGAAATTTTCAAGACCTTGGGCTCACCCGCTGCAGATGCCCAGAAAGTGAAAGTGAAAGTCGCTCAGTTGTGTCCGACTCTTTGCGACCCCGTGGACTACACCGTCCATGGAATTCTCCAGGCCAGAATACTGGAGTGGGTAGCCTTTCCCTTCTCCAGGGCATCTTCCCGACCCAGGGATCGAACCTGGGTCTCCTGCATTGGCAGGTGGATTCTTTACCACCTCAGCCACCTGGGAAGCCCTCAATTTAATGTATGTTTATATTACATGCCCCTTGTTGCCTGACAGATTACCCTCAAACTTAGTGGCTGGCTGAATGCAACACCCGAATCTTGTTTTGTTTGCTTTTTTAAAATATATGTATTTTATTGAAGTATAGTTGACTTACAGTGTTTCAGGTTCCCAACTGATTCAGTTATACATATACACATACATTATTTTTCATATTATTTTCCATCATAGTTATTACAAGATATTGACTACAGATCCCTGTGCTATACACTTTTGTTGCCTATTGCGTATGTTTTTTTTTTTTAATTAGAAATCTAACATCCTGTTCATGAGCACCCGTCTGTCATCCCACTGTTTCTTTGGGTCAGGAGCTTGGGTGGAGCTTCATTGCACTGTCTGCCCAGCAACTGTTGTGGTTGAAGTCAAGGCATTGGCTGGGGTGCCTTCTGAGCCAGGGGCTCGACTGTGGGAGAAGTCTGCCATCAACTCATCGCAGTTGTTGGCAGGATCCGTTTCCTTGCAGGGGTGGGACTGTGGGCCTGTCGCCTTGATGACGTGTGGCTGGGGTCCACTCTGAGCTCCCGGAAGGTGCCTGAGATTCCTCCCTGTGTGGCCCCCATCAGCGGCAGATCACAAAATGGCTTTTAGCAGAATCCTCATCTCCAGCCTGCTGAGACAGAATTTCATGTCATGCAACATAATCTCAGCAGTGACAGTGCTTCACCTCGGCCGTGTTCTGTTGATTAGAAGTGTACACACACACACACACACACACACACACACACACGGGGAGGTGATGACATCAGGCAGGTTATGACTCAGTGAGGCTCACCCTGCGCCCTGTCTATTCGAGAGTCTCATCAGTGGTTTGGTCACTAAGCCGTGTCCAACTCTTGTGATCCCATGGGCCTGGCGGGCTGCAGTCCACGAATACCGGAGAGGGTTGCCAGGTCCTCCTCCAGGGCATCTTCCCGACCCAGGGATCGAACCTGGGTCTCCTGCATCGCAGGCGGATTCTTTACAGACTGAGCCACCAGGAAAGCCCATGTCTAATACAGAAGGAGATAAAAAGAAGAGATTCAGGTCTCTTGAGACACAGAACAGACCGCACTGATCAGAAGTGGAACTCAGCATAATCAAAGCAATGAGTTCATGCAGAGACCAGGGGTGTGAGGCCACTTCTGCATATTGCCCTACGTTCTGTTTTATTTTGTGTTCCATTCTGTACACAAACCGCACATCTATAGGAACTAAAACGTGGGGCTGGCAAGTCTAGAGGAACAAGATGTGCTATTCACTTGAGAAACGCGTTATCCATTAACATCCCTGAGTCTGGGTAAGTAGGTTTATGTCAGATCCCTGAAACGGGAAATGTAACTGCAGGTCATTTGAAACCTTTCTCCGTGACATTTCAGACGTGATAGTGGGCTTCTGTGAATCTCGTTCTGTCTGAAATAACCGTGCGGGACTTCTTAGATCACAAAATGGCTTTTAGCAGAATCCTCATCTCCAGCCTGCTGAGACAGAATTTCATGTCATGCAACATAATCTCAGCAGTGACAGTGCTTCACCTCGGCCGTGTTCTGTTGATTAGAAGTGTACACACACACACACACACACACACACACACACACGGGGAGGTGATGACATCAGGCAGGTTATGACTCAGTGAGGCTCACCCTGCGCCCTGTCTATTCGAGAGTCTCATCAGTGGTTTGGTCACTAAGCCGTGTCCAACTCTTGTGATCCCATGGGCCTGGCGGGCTGCAGTCCACGCATACCGGAGTGGGTTGCCAGGTCCTCCTCCAGGGCATCTTCCCGACCCAGGGATCGAACCTGGGTCTCCTGCATTGCAGGGGGATTCTTTACAGACTGAGCCACCAGGAAAGCCCATGTCTAATACAGAAGGAGATAAAAAGAGGGGATTCAGGTCTCTTGAGACACAGAACAGACCGCACTGATCAGAAGTGGAACTCAGCATAATCAAAGCAATGAGTTCATGCAGAGACCAGGGGTGTGAGGCCACTTCTGCATATTGCCCTACGTTCTGTTTTATTTTGTGTTCCATTCTGTACACAAACCGCACATCTATGGGAACTAAAACGTGGGGCTGGCAAGTCTAGAGGAACAAGATGTGCTATTCACTTGAGAAACGCATTATCCATTAACATCCCTGAGTCTGGGTAAGTAGGTTTATGTCAGATCCCTGAAACGGGAAATGTAACTGCAGGTCATTTGAAACCTTTCTCCGTGACATTTCAGACGTGATAGTGGGCTTCTGTGAATCTCGTTCTGTCTGAAATAACCGTGCGGGACTTCTGAACCATGTCTGGTTTAATAAAATGAGACTGGAAGCCTGCACACCACAACTAGCGTTGGACCCCGCTAGGCACAGCTAAGCAAGCCCATGAGGCAGCAAAGACCCAGCACAGCCAAAAATATATATATATTTTTAAAATGGGATGTGTGTACAAATTGTGATATGCTGTGGCAGAAAGGTTCGTTGAAGCTTGAAAGTTGGGGAAAAGAGAGGCTACTTAACGTGAGGAACTTTGTAGAGAGCTCCTAGCCCAATGGTCCAAAAGCTCAAGCCTTAATATTCAACTTTAGTTGCTTTGATTGTTCTTATTTCTGGTTGTTTTTTTTTTTCTCCTGTTTTATTGTGCTGTAAATGTCTGACTGTTTTGCTTACTGAGATTGAATCCTGGAAGGACCCACTCCTATTTCAGTGTTTTCAAGGCTAGGCATTCATTGACAACACTTGTCCATCCTCCTGGTTATTACATTTTGTGTTAAGAAGGTATCCAGGTTCCGTATCGTCAAGAACCTGGGCTTTCCCTTTGTGAGAGTCTGAACCCAGGTGACTCCGGATTTTAGTTTTCTACGGCAGAAACAACTAGACAATTAGAGATATTTGGTCCAGTGTACTCACTTGTAAAATGGTCCAAGCTTTATTTTCAAAGGTGTGAGCTTGCAAACCACACCCGAAAGAGCAAAACCAGTCTGTCCCTTGCCTTTGTAAATCAGGTTTTATTGGAATGTCGTCAGAACAGTTTTTTGTTTTTTTTAATGTGTTATCTACGACTGCTTTTGTCTTACAACAGCAGAGTTGGGTAGTTGCAACGTGTCATGTGGCCCATAAAGCTGAAACTTGGGTGAAAATCTGGCCCTTCGCAGAAAGTATGTTCCACTTTCTGAGCAAAGTCACTCAGTCGTGTCCGACTCTTTGCAGCCCCATGGACTAGAGCCTGCCAGGCTCCTCCTCCGTCTGTGGGATTCTCCAGGCAAGAGAACTGGAGTGGGGT